CTCAGAGAGCATGAGCCACTAAGAATGATGAGCCACAAAGAATGAAAGAAAGGAATGTCAAAGATAAAGGTACAAAGAATGAAGGGATGGATAAAGGGTAAGAGACCATAGAATGATACAAAGAATGAAGGGGTGGTCAAAGGAATAGAATGATGAAGTAAGGAAGGGTAGTAGCAAGAGTCAGCATGCATATAGTTCATAGACAGCACCCCTGAGGGACAGAAGTCCTGAGTTCTGGTACAGAAGAGTGTAGAACCCTCAGAACTGAAGGTACAAGAGTAGAGAACTGTAACATCACCCCCCCTCTAAAACCAATTGTCCTGATTAGTGAGCATTAGGCTTGGTCAGTAGCTTAGGCATAGGTTAGAATGGTAGGGTTTGGAAATCTGTAAGGCAGAGTTGATGCAGAGCACCCAGATGAAGTTGATAGAAGTCTCAGATTGCCTTAGTAGTATGAGTGAGATTCTCAGCAGGTTCTCAAGTGTGTTCTTCAACTAGGTATCCCTTCTAGTGAATAAGGAACTTGAGCTTTCTGTACACTAGCTTAGTATCTGCTACATATTCTACTTTGTATTCCAGTTTGGAACCAATAAGTTCTGGTTGAGGTGGTAGGGGTCTTTGTTGTGAAGGAAAACTCAGATTGTAGTATCAAGACAGTAGAACCTTGTTAAACACTGGGTGTATACACTTCTATGTTGTTAGAAGTTGGAGTTTGTAGGCAGAGGCACTAACCTTCTTTTTAATAACAAAGGGTCTGAAGCACTTGTTGTCCAACTTCTTCATTAGGCAATCTGTGGTCAGGTTAGTAGCTTCTAGCATAACTTTGTTACTAGGCTGGTAATCCTTGGCTACAGACCTCTTCCAATCATAGTTCTACTTTATAACCTATGCTACCTTTTCCAAAAGAGCTTGTGTGTCCTCTCTGGTTCTGTGTATCTGTTCCACAAAGTCTGTTACAGATTCAGAACTACTGTTCCAGTTTGGAACTGTCCCCTGGTACAGATGTCTCTTATGATTGAGGAAGAACAGAGACTGTCCTGTTGTAGAGTGTTGCTAGTTATTGTGTACAAATTCTGTCAGAGCTAGCTATTCAGACTAATCCAATTACTAATGATTGATGAACATCTGGAGGTAGAGCTTGATCTCCTGATTGACTCACTCAGTTTGACTGTCAGTCTGTGGGTGATAGACAGTAGAAGGGTTCCCTTGAATTCTGAGAAGTACATACAAGTCCTACATGAATTT